GGGGGGGAAGGGTCATTGGGGAGAAAAAGGGACATCTGTAATACTTTAAACAGAAATAAAAATTATAAAAAAAAAAATTAAAAAAAAAAAAAAGATGTAAATGAGTGCTGCCATCTCATGTGCTGCTGTCTTCGGAGACACAGTGACAATCAACAAGTAGACCCCAGACCCATGATGGACCAGCACGGCAGCTGTTACAGACAGTGTAGGGTGCCGACCCAACATCTGTTCCCTCCTTTCTCCTTCCTGATAGAACCTTACCTCGTGGCAGCGGCCAGCCAGAGAAAATAAAGCTAACGTACCAGCAAGGTGGCAGAGAAAACCCAAAAGAGGCATCGCGCTTGGCACCGGGAACCTCTGGCAGGGAACGGGCAAGGCTGGCCTTCGCTGCTTCACCTTAACTCTTTCCAAAAACAGCATGTACAAGAACGAACTTGCTTTTCTCAGCCCAACGTCCAGAGTTGTGCGCATTTCAAGAAACACTTGGTTCTCTGGGCAAAAAACACACAATGATTTAAAGATCTGAACCCTGGACACTGGGACTATGTACTTAAATAATTTCATGCATTTATATAATTTCATATAGCTTGTAGGACGAGGCTGGATGACCCCACAGCAACTTAAGGATTTCAGTGTCTAAGAGGGAGTCTTTCTCTTTCCAAGTCATGAGTTTCTGCTGATGTTTTTTATTTCACCTAATCTTCATTAAGTACTTCTCTACCTTGCTCTATTATGAGAGCATTTTCCTTTCAATTTCACTTTCTTTTTTGAGCTACCAGTCTTTTTATCATTTTTATACAGCATGTTCAAATTAGATCTTATATATCATGTGATATATTTTCACATCCAGCCATGTGTTCAGTTACAGCTGCCTAGATTTAAGAATATCAACACTCAAGTGTCACTCTATTATGTATTTTTTTGAGCCATTGAGCCTGCATTTCTAAGGCTTTGCAATTTAACTCTCCTACTTTACTCAGTTTTACCAGTAATAGTCTATATCACATGGATTCATGAGAGCTTGTAACTGTGTCAAGAAGGAGACTAAATCTTTGGTTAAATTTTTCTTTCATAGTTTCTCTTGTATTTGAGCATGTCAGAGAGGAATATCTGTGGTTCGTCTCCATTAGGACTCTGTAACTAAAATTTCAGCACATTTAAACAGAATCATCTCACACACGGGATATTGAATAATGTCATTATACAAAACAGCACTGAATGGCTTTACGAAATTTGTGCTTGCATGAGCGATCATCTGTATTCTTGGAAGAATATTATAATATTTGCTGTCCCATGTTATACAGCCTTATCTTTAAAAGGAAGTGCCTATAACTGGCTCTTTATCTTTCGTTTCTATTCTATTACTGGGTGGTTGGAATCCAGAGGCTCTTCTTGTGCCCCTCCCTTGTACGTGCATGCTGTTAGTGACTCAAGAAAGCTCCTGCAGCCTTGACTAATGGAGTGTTAACTGATTACACACCCATGCACACATGCAAACTTTAAACTGAGTTAAGTACAACCAGTGTTGTATGACTCAAAGGGTATAAGTGTGACTATTCAGAAAGTTGGATTTCTTTTTTACATTTGGAATTTTGAAAAATCTCAGTAACCCTGACTATGGAATCTTCTTCCCTTGTTTAATTTTTACCCTCAGGAATTCTACCATCAACGTTATGTATACATTTTTTGCAACTTACCTTTTTCCATATAGCTGTATATATAGGAAGTCTTTCCTTAGGGGAAAAAAATTTATGTAAACTCAGTCTATCTTACGGTTCTTTCTCCCATTCTGTGGCCATTCTTTAACTGCATTTTATTCCAGAATATGAAGATTTTGTCATTCCCCTGTTGATGGACAACAAGATCATTTCCAATTTGTCACTGTTACAGACAGTAAGCACCCTTACATAAGCTGCTTTGTGTGTGTACACATATGAGTATTTCTCCAGCACAGATCCTTACACGTGGACTCGCTGGGCCAAAGACTATGCGCAAAGTTCTAATTCGTGGCTAAATTGCCCTCCAAAAGGCTTTGTCAGTTTACATTTCTACTAACAGTCTATGAGTGCCTGCTTCCCTACACCGTCATCGACACCGGATAGCATCAGTCTTTAAGGTTTTTGCCAATCTGAAGGGGAAAAACATTTTAAAAAGCAAATTCTTGATAATTACTGAGGTTGAACTTTTTTCCAGATGTCTATTTGCCATTAATACCTCTTTTGTGAATTGCTTCTCTGTAGCCTTTTTCTCAATTGGATTCTTGATGTTTTAATTAATCAGTTTGTAGGTGTCCTTTATCGAAATTCTGGATATTAAGTCTTTGGCTGTTTTTGCTTGTCTTTGACTTTATTTAAAGTAGCATTTGCTGGTCGAGGTATTGGAGGAATGCCGCCTTTCTGTCAAGCTTATGTCTCCTTGTGGAAGGAGGTCTGCCCTCTCATGTGGAGGGCTCCCGGCCTCCTGCCCCACTCCTCAGTCTTCCCCAAGGCAAGGAGAATGACTCAGCTTGTTGGTAACTGGCAGAAAGAAGGAGCCAAAGTGCTCGGCTCAGCCCGGCCTCCGTCCTGTCTGTGAAAAGGCACACACCCTTCTCTGCCCCTCCGCTCCACCAGTGGAACAGGGGCAAGCCCTCCAGGGCTGACCTCGGCCTTAAGTATTAGCAAACCTGCTTGCCTAGCAGACCTCAGCCATATGGTCCAGTATCAGTTGTGGTGGTAATAAGAGGAATATTTATATCTCCATCTGCCATACTCCTGTGTCTGTCTCTTAATAGGTTCTTGTGTCAGTTAGAGTCCAAACAGAAAACAGAAGGCACATTCAAATTAGAATAATTCAGGAGATTTAATAAAAGGACTATTTACAAAGGTGTGGGCAGGGTGTGGGGAAGATAAACAGGAGAGTGCCCCAACCTAGGGCTAGTAACAGCAGAGCTTTTACCACTCCGAGGTCTAAGAGGGTGCAGGGGATGGGGGCTTGGCTACTGAAATCCAGGAGAAGAGGGTCCCATAGAGCTTCCTGCCCTCAGCCTACAGGGAGGAAGCCTGAGAAATAAACCCTGACCGTTCTCTTCTTCCCCTCTCTAATCTCCTGCTCCCCACTAGACAAACCAACCAGAGCCAGAGGACAAGGAAACCCATTGCTGTAATCAGTATAGATCCTTCTACTTGGACAGAGAGCAAGGAGGAAAAGAGATCCGGAGGGACAAACAGAATATCTCTGGCACCTCTTTCCTCCCTCAGAATACACTGTCATCCTTCAGCTGGGTGAGAAACTCGTGTCCCCATCAATGGGATGCACAACACCCCATTGGCTACCATTTTATCACGAGGCAGTCTCAGACTGGCTTCATCCCTGTTGGAGGTGTGGTAGGCAGAATTCAGAGATGGCTTCCCAAAATTCCTGCCCACTGGTACACACACAGCTTCTCCCAGTTATTCAATCAAACACTAATCTAGATACTGGAGGACTTTTGCAAATGTAATTAAGGTCCCAAATCAGTAATGAAAGTATTCTGGGTGAGCCTGACCTAATCAGGTGAGCTCCCAAAAGGGCCAGGGCTCTTCCTGATTAAAGAGGTTTGAATTTAATGCATGAGAAATTCTCCATTGCTGCCTTTAAGGATGGAGAAGGAAAGTGGCTGACAGCCAGCAAAGATATGGAGGCCTCAACCCATGGCCACAGGGAACTGAATTCTGCCACAGCCGTGTGAGCCTGAAAGAGGACCCTGGACTCCAGATGGGAATGCAGCCCAACACCTTGGTTTCAGCCTTTTGAAACTTCGAGTAGAGAACCCATCCAGCCATGTGCACTGGGCCTGGGCGTCTGACCTATAGAACTGTGAGCTAACACATGGATGTGGTTTTAAGCTGCTAAATTTGTGATGCTTTGTCAAATAGTAATAGAAACCGATACCAGGGGACAAAAAGTAACATAAAACACAGGTGTTAAAGTCCCCGTTCTGTAGCTGGTAAGAGAGCGTAAATTGGTAATCACGGCTGTCTCCTTTCATCGCTCAGCCCAAGTTATTGTCCTCACGTAGCACCTCAGCTGGATAAGTTTCTTGACCTGGTGGAATGACTCAGACCTTCATTCCTATAGGATCTGAGTCTTTGTGCTCTTGACATTGAGTTGTCAATTTTCCACTGACCCGAACTTTAGAGCAGGAGAGAACTCAGAGGTGCCCTGAACAAAGTCCTCCTCACCCGATTGTGTAGCAGCCACACAACCTCCCCCTGGTGATCAGGGTCGATTACCCAGCCAAGCTAGAGAACACCTTCCCTGTTTGTTTGTTTAGTGGCATGAGAAGCCTAAAATGCACAGGGTGAATCTCAGCTTCCAATTTATTTAGGAACCATGACCGTGCTTCCTGGTGGAAGAATTACTACTCTGGACACTAGAAACTTCGTATCTACTGAGCCTAGGGTTTCAAGGATGGAAACAAAAAAGCCGTCTGGTGAATGACTAGGTGTAACAGTGAGAGGGACACTCCTAGTGCCGGCCCTTTGTTCAGGACACATGCACGCTGGCCTTCGGCGAGATGGCAGCATGTATTGGCCTCAGGTTTAAAGCTTGTACTGTTTGGAGGGTGGTGTCTTCCCCTGGCGCTGTAACTGAGCCTTTAGTAATCTGCTTCACCATTCTCTCAGGCTACTTGATTCTAGGCGCACGGTCACACCAGTGGATTTCATAGGGAGGAACCTACTGCCACACTTGTCATGCTATAATATGTGTCCCGTCATCAGAGGTGATGTTGACTTTGATGCCATGGGAAGGATAAGGCATTCTGTAAGTTTACGAATGATGCTGAATGAAGCACTTCAGGCAGAGAAGACAAATAACTGTGCATGTATTTACCCTATGAGGAGAGAGCTTGGTTCCCTCCAAGATAGAGGGGTCCAAGGTGGCTTCCCTCCAACTCTAGCGTGTCTCTTTCTTCGTGGTGCGAAATTCAAGATGCAGCAACTTGTGTTGCACTTCAGGAGGATGCCCCAGACCGCCGAGCCCCTGGAAATTTTACCTACATGGTTGGCCCTCAGCCTCAGGCATGTATATCTTACAAAGGCATCTGGAGCACTAGGCACGTCCCACGCACCAGGTCCAGTTAGCATAAATGCCATCCATGTAATGAACCAGGATGTCGTGTAGGCTATCGAAATAATTGAGTTCCCCTCACACAATATTATGATGGCGAGGAGGAGACTTGACATTGTCCTGGTGTGAGATGGTAAAGGCATTCTATTTGCCCTGCTGCGTAAATGCAAATTGCTCCAGGTTGTCATGGAAAGAAAATGGTTTTCAGGTCAAAAGCTGAATGCCAGGGGCCATGGGCTGTGTCGAATTGCCGCAGTAAAAATTCCCCAATTTGGTTCTTGAGTTGTGATTGGCATCACTACCTGACTGTGCTTGCAAAGATTTACTGTCTTTCTCCATTTCCCACCTGGCTTCTGCACTAGCCAGATAAGTGAGATAAACAGGAATGTGTTGGGAATCACTACTCTTCCATATATCCAGTTTTTGATGGTCACACTAATCTCTGTAATTTCCCCCAGGATTGAAGTATTATTACTTTTGACTTACTTTCTTGGTGTGCCAGGGGTGTGGGCAAGGGGGTCCTTTCTGGAGGGTTCCCTTTGCCCTTCTCTTCATGATGGCCTTCATTTTATGGTAAAAGAATCAATATAAGAATTCTGCCAGTCATCAGGTATCTTTCTTTTCACTGTATATTCTTGGAATGGAGAGAAAATACAGGGTGGGTACATAAGCCCACCGACACTGTATTAGATAGACTTTGTCTAGGTCTCCATACACCATCTGACTTCCACAAGTTCTCAGTTTCACTGGTGGGTCATGGTGGCACTTGGGGGCTCTGGGGATCAGAGTGAATTCAGAGCCAACATCTGTTAACCTCAGGAAGATCTAGTATTTCCCTTTCACTAGTGCATGGTTACCCTGGAAATGGCTGCAGGTCCTTTAGGGGAAGACACACAGTATCTGTGGCCACATTGCAAGATACTTCCTCAGGTGAGGGTCTCAGCCAGTGAACTGACTTAATTAGGTCTGGTATTGAGTAAAAGGCTATGAATATCCCCTCCAGTTTCTACCCAGAGACTTAGAATTTTTCATCTGTGTTTGGCAAGCAGCACCTTCATAGGCTGCCCAACTATTTCATTTCTAGAAACCTTTGCCACAGTTCCCTACAGATCAAAGCACCCCGACTGTCATTCTGTTTCTGTGGCTTATTGTTGGCCTGCCTCTCCTCTGACTTTCCAACTCTGGCATCCCACATTCCCATTGAGATCAAGGAACCCGATTCCTTTGTGTCATCCCCAACT